ATCCGGAGTTTCATTCGACAGAATAGGAACGTTCTCACTAATGAACCTCTACAGACTCAACGTAGTCAGATAGAAGAACATCTTCTGCTGCCATCTCTTGAAGTCGATACCAAAATTTTTTGCAGGTTTCTCAGTCGGTGCAAGGGCATCAGTTGAACGATTGTGTGCAACCGATGTTTTTGCAGCACTCACTGTTCCAACATTTACTTGACTTGAATTTGTCTTTTTTTTCCTGTCACAAATGGCAAGCAGTTTCAGTATGTGAAATACTAAAAGTAAAGAATAAATCCTTACACAACCTATTTTTGATTTAACGATGAAGTTTTTATGTTCTTCTAATCTTTAATCGAATGAATTTTAAAATTCAAACAGAGTAGAAAACCAGAAAGGTTTTAATCTCCAGAAATTAAACCTCAAATACAGAAACCAATTAAATTTCTTAAGCTTGTTATCTCTTGTATTCAGGTTAGGAAAAACAGAAACAGAGAAAAGATGAAACAAATAGAAAATAATAATTCGAATCCACAGAACCCACTGTATATCCTTAAGAGATTTAATCCCCTCAAGTACCCGAGGTTACAAATTAATTCCTTCCAAGATAAAACGGATTAAGTACTATTAGAGAAGTAGCGGTACCTCAAACTTCACTAATTTCAGCGAACGCAAGAACAACAACGAGAGCACACACAGACTCAGTCGATCGATAATTTTGTTTTTGTAAGAAAATGTATGCAGAGAGAAAAAATTTCAGTGAATGAAAATTGGGAAAAACCTCTCTATTTATAGCCAATTGCAGCAAGGAACGCGTCTGTTTGGACAATAGTGTGAACGCATCTGTTCAGACATGTCTTTCCAGAATGTTGTGTCTTTTAGAAAAAATAACGTCTTTTCGGAAGGAACAAGTCCCTTCAGATGACGTTACTGTTACGCGCGAATTTCTAATAATTCTGTTAACTAATTAACTTTCTGAATTAATTTTCAAGAGAAAGGAAATTACTCAATCAATCACATCATTTGCCAAATACAAATTCGAAGCCGAAATTGAAGTCAAGCGAGCGACGACGATGCGAGGGAACCTTCTTCTTAACCCTTTAAGAACTAAATGAAGTGTTTCCTAATATAAGGACAACAATTTCCTTTCTTCTACCAATATGGGAGAAATGACTTTTCATTTTCAAAGACTTTCCATTTGAAATGACTTTATTTTCCCTCCAAATTGGTTCCCCCACATTTTTCATTTTCTCTTCTTATTTTTCATTCACACATTGCTAAAAACCCAACATAGTGTTGGGTTCTAAAGGTGAATTAGGGCGTCATGCGGAAGCTTACAATTTGCAAATCATATAGTTGATAAAATTAGATAACAAAAAACTTATACTAAAAATCAAAATATTATTATATCAAAACTAATATAAAAGAAAAACATTGAAACTTTAGAGAGAATAAATCCCCCCATAAACAAGACTCTTAAACGACTACATTGTGGATGTTATCGTTGTCCTGTTAGAAGAAATAAACCTATATTTATAGAGTCCTAAATCCTTTTCTTACTAGAAAAGGACTAGCTACTCCAAAACCTTTTCCTAAAAGGAAAGAATAAACCAAATATGAAAGAATATTATATTTTCCTTTCAGGAAAAGTAAAAACAATATTTATGGTAATGTTTTGTCTTTTCTTTTAAGGAAAAAATAAATCTTAAATTATGGTAAGAAAATCAGGGCAAAACCCTAACACACAGTTCATGTTTATATACAAGTAATTGCATTTTCTGACTAGTTAAACAATATTCACTAATCCTGCAAACTAAGTGTTTAATTAGATTTCATCAATAATAAAGAAATAGTTGTAACATAAAGAAATAGTTGTAACAAGGTTCATCGCAAGCACTATAGATACGATATTACTAGTAGGTACAAGGAAAATCTTCTAACTACATCAAATCATGAATAATTCAAGTCAATTCCGATTAATAATTTGGTATTGAAAAAAAATCATCCGATCATAAGTTGGTTTGATTTTAACTAATAAAAGTTAAATCAAACTAAATTTACCCGACATTACATGTATACAATTTTAAAAAAAAACTAATTGCCACTTAAATAAAAGTAAACCCACAGAGGCCAGAGCTCTGAAAATGAAGACCACATGGATCTCAAGATTTTGTTTGTTTATATGTCTAAGTACTAATTTGCACCTTTCACATATATTTACGGTTATTGCTCGCCTCTCTTCTTCTTTCTCTTTAAATCTATCTTTATTTGATAATGGTGACACCTATCTCAACAAAAAATATACTCTCTTCGTTTAAGAAAGAATGACCTAATTTGACTTGGAACGCAGTTTAAGAAAAGAAGGAAGAATATTTAATCTTGTGGTTCTAAATTAAAGTTATGTCAAATGTACTAAAATGTCTTTTAATCTTGTGGCCTTAAACATGCCACATGGAAAGTTGAAGTTAAAGTATTGCAAAAAAAAAGAAGGGATCATTCTTTTTGAAACAGACTAAAAAGAAAATTGTGTCATTTTTTTTGAAATAGAGGGAGTATCACAATTTGGATTCACGCCCTACAAAAAGTTGATATATACTTGAACTGACTTTGGGTATCTAGCATCTGCTAATATCTTGCCCAGATGGGTTGATTTGGATATAGGGAATGAGCACATAGTAAAAAGAATATACTTGTATCAACTTTATTAATTATATCGAAAAAATCTGAACAAATTCAAAAAAATTAAAGTTGAGAATAAATCCGACTTTTATATGAGTGAATTGTAGAGTCCTAAGCTTGCTACACTTAGAATATACAATTTACAAGAAAAGTGACTGACTACTACTACTATTGCAATTATATAATTTAACCTAGTCAACTTCAGCTAGCACAAGACATAACATCCTAGTCAACTTTTAGCAGCCCAGTCCTAATTTGACTCTTTAACTTTATAACGCTTAAAGTTATACATGTTGATTGTATCACATTGTTTAACTTGTGCCACATATAGCTTCAGCTTTCCTTATCTTCAACGATACGATATATATTTACACCCCGAGTTACTACCAAGTGCAAACTCAAATAATTAAAAAAAAAAAAAAGAGACTACCAACTTCTTGACAATGTGACACAAGTAGTCCGTCCAAAGCTGACAAGGCGCCCACATATTTATATCCAGAAACGTGCATGACGTTTTAATTTCAATTGTTCTTTTGCTTACGTACTTAAATATGACAAACTATTCAAATTCTTGCATTCTTTCCAATAGAACGGCTAATCAAATAATCTTTCTTGTGGTTAAATTTATGTCAGCCACAAACCTAAACCTTATGGGGTTACTAATCAATAATCAATATATAAAATAATTTAGACCAACTTAGGACAAATCTAATTCTTGGCTAATACCTACTCTCAGATTCCACGTAGGGCAAACTAATATGAAGAAATTTTCTAAAATCAACAATTAAACAATTATTGCTTCCTCCTTCCATGCCATGCATGGGTGGGTCACTGATCAATTAGCTAATTCTCTTTTCCAAGTAGCTTATCACTTCCATCAAAGGTTCCCTTGTTTTATTCTTTTATTTATCCAAAAATTGAATTAATTTACCTCCATAAATAGGGAAGGTTGTGATACAAAAAAACACACACACACAAACAAAAATAAAAAGAGAGAGATGGGTGTGAAGGTTGCCATAGGAGAAATGTTGCCATGCACATCCATGATTATAATAGAAGCTTGCACCATTTTCTTGACGATCATGGCGAGCACCACCATGTCAAAGCTAGGGATGAGTTCTTTTGTGTTTGTGGTTTATACAAACGCTCTTACCTTTATAATTCTTATTCCATTCTCTATCCTTTTCCACAGAAATAACAAGTACGACATAATATTCATACTTCTTTCTTCTCCATAGATATATAAAATGTGTCTCGTGTTGATCAATAATTTGTAAACACAGGACCGAGGAGCCATCATTCACGTTTCCCCTTGTTTTGCGTGCCTTCTTCCTTGGTTTAATAGGGTAAGTATATATAAATTCTCTTAATTTTGATGTTGATTATTAGTCATTTGATAATATATATATGTAATGAAATAATGATGCAGGGTAACAATAGCTCACAATCTAGCATTTGCGGGACTAAGTTATAGTTCTCCAATAGTAGCATGTGGTGCAGCCAACATGATACCTGCTTTCTCTTTCATTATTGCCATTATTCTCAGGTTCTCTCTAAATTATTTTACCACTAGCTAGTGCTTAGTATGATCACCTCATTTATGATCGTTCTAAATGAGATGATGCGTCATATATAGAGTGGGCTATACGCCGACCCACGTTAAAAGCTTTAATGGTTATTTCAAACACAATCACATACTTTTATATGATATTAGCGCAAACAACGATTTATCCAATTTTAATTTCATTCATTATTTAAAAGAATTTTCATCACTATTATTACATCTACCAATTACTACAATAGATAATTACCACCATTCTTCAACATTATATACCGCTAAATGCCATTATCATTCACCACCGCTATCAACTATCTGTATCATTCACTACGAATTATCAACCACCACCACCATCAACCACAATTAGTCACTACTATCAACCACTATATCATAAGATACTCCCCACAGCCACCATCATGAATCATGATCAGTCAACACCATCCCAAATCGACAAACATCGACAAACAAAATCATCCGTCATCACCATCATCACCAATTGTAATATAAAATTTTAAAAATATTTTGTTGATATAATATTAAATCAATTTAGTGTTTTTATTTAAATTTTATGTTTTTTATTATGTATATAAAGAAAATTTTATACTTTTTTCATTCAGATTCAAATGTTTAAATCTTGAAAATAAATAAAAACAAATAAGGCCTAAAAGAGCATAACTATTTTAATTGTAGGAAAATAAGAATTGACATGAAGAAGCAAGGAAGTATAGTAAGAGTGATTGGGAGCTTAATATCAATAGTGGGAATATTAGCAATGACTTTCTACAAAGGTCCAGTGGTGAAACAATATTCTCCATCTTTTCTTCATCTTGCCACGTCACCACACCTCTTCATCTTTATTTCTACACATGAGAATTGGGTTCTTGGTTGCTTCTTGTTTGCATCTGCTTCCTTTGCTCTTGTCATATGGAACATTATTCAGGTAATAAATAAATCTCTTTTATTTTTCTATTTTATTTCTTGTATCTATCTGAAATATATATTAAATGAATTATATATATATATAATTGTTTTCAGGTCGGAACTAGCAAGAAGCATCCACATGTGATGAAAATAACTTGTCTCTATACCTTATTTGGAACGATCCAATCTGCACTACTTGCTCTACTCATGGAAAAAGATCTTAGGGTTTGGAAACTTAAACTTGATATGGAGCTTCTTGTCATAGTTTTAACTGTAAGCTCACTTAATTTAAAAATACTACGAGTAAAATTTAATCATTAATTAATTAGATAATTTTAATAACGTGATAATGCTTTGATACATAATAGGCAATTTTCGGGAGTTTAATACGTATCAATGTTCAAATATGATGCTCGCATTTGAAGGGACCCTCTTATGCCCTATTTTTCAAGCCTGTGGGAGTTCCATTTGCCAGCACTTGTGGTTGTGTGCTCTTTGCTGCGACTTTCCACTATGGAAGGTAAGTTTAAAGTTAAATTGTAAAAAAACGTGATGTAAATAGAAAGCTTACATGGATGAATATCATGTGCAGCATGTTGAGTGCATGTATATGTGGACTTGGTTATTACACCACGCTATGGGGACAACTCAAAGAAGACGAGACAATGAAAAACAAGAAAGGCAACGTGATTACTTCTGATGAAAGAGTTCCTCTTCTGCAAGAACAACAAGAAGAAGATTCACAGGTCTAGGATATTAAAGATAATTAATGATCAACCAACGGAGGGTGTGTTTTTTAAAACCCTTCGTTGCAAAGACTTGGTGTTCTTATAATTTATAAGAATACTTTGATTGTGATGGAAATAACGAAGTGGAGTATGTATGATAATGTGGATCAGAGTATAAGAATTATGTATTACATTTTTCTAATATATCTACCTTGGTTAGGGTTAAGATTCAAGTAATATCTATGTTTTTAAAAAAAATATTATAAGCCATTATTCACGTTTCTCCCTATTTTGCATATGACTTCTTCCTTGGTTTGGTAGGGTAAGTACTCTCTTAATTTTGGTCTTGATTGACTATATACGAGTAAATGTAATGGAACATTTGTGGATAAATTAATTAGCTGCTTACGTTTTCTTCACGTTTGTTTGGAGTAATTATAGTAATGTAAAAAAAAAAAATGCCTTCTTATCTTCTCATCACAAAAGCAAGTTGAATCAAACTTTTGACCTCTCTATAGCAATAACGAAAATTAACCGAAGCATTACTGATAAGATAGAGCAACAATATCTTGAAAGATCCTTTTCAACTTACCGTTAGATGTAGCCTTGTTGATGAGCATATTGGTGATAATGATAGTCCACCTCAATTATATAATTATCCAAGACATTTTCGGGACACCGTTTGACAGCAAATCTGACAGCTGAAGTTTCTGCAAAGTTGTTGCTAGTACTTTGGATAGGTTTTGAGAATGCCTCGATGAAGTCTCCGTCGCTATTTCTGATAATACCAGCTGCTTTGTCGTTGTATCTTCCATCCACATTCACTTTATATTTACCCATTTTTGACAATTGCCATGTGACAAGTTGATAATGACCATAGGCTGTAGCTTCTCTCACTACAACAAAAACAACTTTTAGCGGCAATAAATATAGATATTAATAAAGAGCGCTAAAGTTTTTACCGGCATTAATTAAGTGCCATTAGAACCAATGTCGCTAAAGGCTTTAAGAACATATACAAAAAGTGCTAATTGCCGCTAAAAATACATATCTAATGATCATTTTTGATGTACTGTCTATGCTTTCACACATATTAGGCCAATTATCCATAATTGTATAGTTAAGAAAAACAATCCTCATAGCAGTAGTCATATTCCACAAAATTTTGTACTACATCTACTTTTGATGCATTTTATCTTGAAGTCCATAGCTTCCATAGTTCCCAGGAAATAAAGATAGGTGCAATCTGAAGAATCATTTTCTGAACAATGTTTTTAGCTTTCAAGTTCCACCAATTTTGAAATATCCTTCTAATAGCAACAGGTTTGTGAACATTTCCCAGAGGGGCGCCAATGTGTTTGGCCTCATCTCCATGAGTAAAGGTGTGACGAATTCGAACCAGTGATCTAATTAGTGTAGCAATAGCAATCTGCATTAGATTGCATCCCAAATGTCACGATGGTCTCATTGAAAGATAGTTTACCCTTACACAGTCTCCAAGTCAGGAAAGAGATCTTGAAAGGAACAACTTTATGCCACAAAGTATTAAGGAACTCCTCCTTCTGTTTGATGGGTTTGACCAAGTGTCAGGCAGAACCATTAGAGTACAGTTTATCCTCAGTGGCCATCCAAATTGGACCATCGATCATCTTGATCCGTAGTGCTAATTTCAATATTTTTGATATCTTGCACAATGTTAGAAGGTAGCACGCAGGAAAATATTCTTTCATCTCATGTCCTATTCAACATAAAATCCTTAACAAACACCTTAGCCAGTAACCCATCACAACACACTGTAGGAATTGATGCTAGGGGGACAATGATTAGTCCAAGTGTCCCACGAGAAGTTGGAGTTCCCCAAATTAATATTCCACCTAATTTTTTCTTCTGCTATACTTCTTGCCCAAACTAAGTTCTTTCAGTCTTGTGAATTACTTGAGATCAACCTTTTTTGAGTAATGCATTTATAAGAACAATACATTTTATTCTTGAAATCAACTCAAAGAGTGTGAGTAGTTCTCAATCTCCACCATCTTTAAATAGCTAAGGTGTTAGAGATATCAACCAAGCTTCTAATACCTATACTACCTTCATTTTTTGGGTAACACAAGTTGACCATGAGCTCCCATGGTACATCTTAGTGTTAGTAGTGGATCCCCAAAATAATCTATCCATGTGCTTCTCCACTAAGTTTATAGAACCTTTGGGTGGGTTGAGTGCCGATAAAATGTAAGTTGGAAGAGATTGAAGCACACTCTTTATAAGAACCACTCTTCCTTCACTAGTAAGCATTTTTCTTTGCCATCCATTCATTCTTTTGATCACTCTAATAACCATGCCATCCTAGTATTCAATCAACTTTCTTCCTGCATAAATAGGGCAAACCCAAGTAAATAAAAGGAAATTATTTATCCATATAGCCTGTACATTGCGTCAGCTTGTTGATTCTGTAAGGACTAGTTTTAAGCCTTGTGAGAAAAAACTCCGTTCTTCATTTACTTTTTGTCCAAAAGCCCTTTCATATCTGTGAATTTGTTTCATTATCATCTTAATAGATGAAAAAAAGAGAGGAAGAAAGAGAGATGGGTGTGAAGGTTGCCATAGGAGCTTGCACTATTTTCTTGACTATTATGTTGAGCACCGCCGGGTCCAAACTAGGGATGAGTTCTTTTGTGTTAGTGGTCTGTGCAAATTCTCTTAGCTATGTCCTGATGAGTGGTAAATATACATTCATTTAAGGTCCATTTAGCTCAATAATTAGTGTCCTCAATGCCTAAACTTGTCCTTTATAACACAATATTGATGATTTGCAGCTATGAAGACAATTGGATAAGGAAAGGACTGACGTTTGAAAGAATGACAAAAATACAAAAAGAAGTGCAAAATGAGCATAGTTGATCGCTTAACATGAAGAGCGGATCGCCAATTGAGCACGACCTCGCCCAAATTTACAATGCATATCATTTGTGTCTACTAAAGAAGGTCGGCATACTCTAGTAGAGAAGGAAATGAGTTAGGTTAGAACGGCGGCCCTGATACACATTGCCCAAACTAATAGTGTGCAGTGCAAAGATTGAATGCTCGAAAGGTGATCTAATGTGGTATTCAGATGATTCGCCAAATGTGAAAGGTTGACTCAACCGAGTTCGCCAACTGAGGTTCAAACACATAAAGCCTAGAGCATTACAAGGCAAGCTGAGGAGTGAAGGATGATTCACCGAGTATGTTTGGCGAACCCGACTAATATCGTAGAGTCAATCACATGGTAGATTTTTGGAAAGTATATATAGCCCAAAGGATACAATTTTGGGAGAGCTTTTCAGGAGTTTTTTTTAGAGTATATTTTTTTTTTGATGTTTTAAGTAGAGATTTTTTCTTGAGATAGAGATTCGAAGAACACTTAACCTTTGAAGAACACTTTTCTAGCTTTTGGGGGTTTTACAATTTGGATTTTGAATTTGATAATTGAAGTTGAATCCAAAAGTTGGTTTACTCTTAATTGCTTGATTTCATGTTATCTATGGATGCTTTTATGGAAGGTATAATTTTCTTGCCTTTTGTGATGGGTGGCTAAACCCCAAGATCTATGGGTGCTCAAATGGAGTTGAGCGTTGATTTAATGTAGTGGATATGGTGCTATGCTCTATTTTGCTGTTGTTCATACATGAATTTGGTTTAATTACCATGAGGTTAACCTATGGGTTAAGGTTGCAAACTTAATTCCTACTTTTGATATCCGGTTGACGCTCGAAAGAGATTAATTTGAGTGCGTAATTAGTTCAATACTAGCAATTTAGGTTTGATGTCTACAACTTGCTTGAAAGAGAGGTTATCGGTCAAATCTATTTGCCCAATTATTGAAAGAGAGAATAGAGTAAGGCATTAGGTTGTTTAGGATTGACATTTAGATGAGACCGAAAGGAGATTCCATGTGTAGATACTTTGAGTCGAAAGATGATTAGCATCAATGAAGATGACTTAGCCTATTCATGAATGTTCATCACTATAGAGCAACACAATCACCTCTATCTAACATCAATTTCCAATCCCCGAACCCCTAGATTACTTGTTAACTCTTGATTTCATCGATACTTTAGTTTAATTGCGATAATTGATAATCAAACCTTTATATTAAGTTGGTGGTACCAACCACCCAATTGTTCTTACTGTTACAAATGAGCTAATTTAAGATCCAAATTTCTTGATAAGGCATTCTCCACGATATACCATTTCCTCTGGGATTTGACCTTGACTCTTCGTTGGGTTTTTACTGACTATGATTTCTCACTCTTTTTATTTATTTTGGAGGGTGATTTGAGTGTTATAAAAAATGACGCCACTGCCGGGGAGTGATGGTCGAGAATACTAATTGAGAAATTAGACTTTTTAATTTGGTTTAGTAGATTTTTCGTTTGATGTTGTTGTTGGCTGATTTGCAGGTTGACAAAATGAGTGATCATGGGAGTGACAATGACAATCACTATGGTCAAACAACAACATGGGTGATTTAAATAACATGCTCGTTAATGTCATTCAAACCACTGGAGCTATTCGGAGACCTACTACAACTGGGAGGATGATGTTTCACATCACTGAAACTATGATTCAATTGCTCCATATGAAGGGAATTTTTGGGGGTCTAGCTCATGAGGATCCCCATGAACACCTTAGGAATTTCAAGGAGGTATGTGGACCCTTTGTGTTCAAGAATATCTCCCACGAATCTGTAAGGTTGAGGTTATTCCCATTCTCTTTAACGGGAGAGGCTACAAGATAGTTGGTAGAGTTTCCAAATGATTCAATCACTTCATGGGAAGAGCTAACAAATGCTTTCTTGGAGAGATTCTTTCCACCCTGGAAGATGGTTAAACATAGACTCGAAATCCAAAATTTCAAGCGTATTAGAGGTGAGCCTTTGCATGAAACATGGCTAAGGTTGAAGAAGTTGCTCTTGCAGTGTCCAACGCATAGCGTTCCAGACAATTTGCTACTACAATACTTCTATTGCAGCCTTAATTTGGTCA